GGAACACTGCACCTGTGCAATTGCTGTAGTCAGCTAAAATCACGTCGCTGAGGGGCCAGCCCGGTGGCATAGCGGTTAAGTGCGCGTGCTCCACTGCTGGAGGCCCGGGGTTTGGATCCCAGGCACGCACCGACGTACCGCTTGTCAAGCCATGCTGTGGCGGCGTCCCATATAAAGTGGAGGAAAATGGTCACGGATGTTAGCCCAGGGCCAGTCTTCCTCAGCAAAAAAAAAAAAAAAAAAAAAAGAGGAGGATTGGTAGGTGTTAGCTCAGGGCTGATCTTCCTCACAATAAAAAGAAAAAAACAAAAAACACATCACTGAGCAGGAGGGAATGCAAGGGGAGGGGCGGGAAGGTGGACAGGAGAATTCCAAAACCCTGCAAAGCGCCCGTCCCATGCTGGAGAGAGTGGTTCCAGTGAGGGTCTTGGGGAGGCCATGGCAGCTGAGGTTGTCTCTCCCCGCCCATCTGAGGCCCCGATCACCGCCTGCCTCAAGCCTGGCCACCTGGAAGCTGGGTCTAGCGCTTCTGAGGTGACCACAGCTCTCGAGGTCTGTGCACAGACAAGCCGAAGCACACCCACGCTGACTGTGAGCACGGCCATCAGCATGTGGGATGTCCGAGGGAGACGGCCGGTGGTCACAACGAACACCTGGTTTTACCTCCAGGTAAATCTGCATTGCCAACTGGCCTGGGCCATAGTTACAGCCACCTTTAAAGAAACGTGCTAACCCCAAAAGTACAGTACGTGCTCATTGTCAGGAATACCAAAAATACAGAAAGGAACAAAGAAAATTTCAATGTCCATAACCTATAATCCAGAAATAACTACGACTAATATTTTTGTTTATTTCTTTCCCACCCTTTTTCTATGTCTTTCGTAAACATTTTACTCATATGTCTGCTCTTGTATCCTGTTTTTATTCTCTTACATTATATCAAGTCAGAGCCAATCTTCTCCATAAAGACCACCTTAAAAAGGATATTTCCTAGATTTCTATGTAACTATTTCTACTATTCAATAATCCAAATAAATGCCACTTGCACTAACTTGTTCTCTGTATTCCGCAAAGTAGCAAAGACCCCAAACCGAAGCTGCGTATTTTGTCAGCGGCGATGCCAGACCCCTAGGAAACCTGACAATCACTCACTGACTCCTGGACTGCTGTGTTCACATGGGAACCGTCGTTGTCAAGGGGCTGACGCTGAGATGGGACTGTAAACAGCCGGGTCCAGGCTCCTCTCTCCTGCCCTAACCCCACACAGAACTCCATTCTAGAACACACCGCCCCAGGGTGGAATTCTAAGTTACTCATGGATATTAGGCATCCATTCAAATGACTTTATAGCATGGAAAATGCTTACACTAAAATTTGACATTAAATTTAAGAACTAGGACTGCATATATATATATGCAAACTTATATATACAACATAATCACAGCAAAGCGAAAGAAGGCACCAATAAAAGAAATATACCAAAATAAGTGGTTATCTCTGGATGATTTTATTATGGATGATTTTTCTCACCACTTTTAGATATACAGTCATGCATCACTTAACGACAGGGATATGTTCTGAGAAATGCATTGTTAGGGGATTCCATCGTTGTGTAACATCATAGAGTGTACTTACACAAACCTAGAGATCATAGCCTACTACACACCTAGGTTCTATGGTTCTAATCTTATGGGACCACAGTTGTATATGCAGTCCAACATTGACCAAAATGTCGTTATGTGGCACAACACTGCATACAAACTTTCTATCATGAGCATATGTTACTGTTATACGTTAGAAAAATCTGAAACAAGGCAGTTTCTTGATCCAGGCCAAATTCACCTCCACATTGCCCTGTGGCTTTCTGCCTCAATTTACCCTCATGTGTCCACACATCTGTCTCCCCCACTGGGCTCTGGGGCTCTAGGTTGCATTCCCTGAAACACCTAACAGCGCTAAATTTAGTAGTTAAAGGATAGGAAAAACGCTGCTTTTGTGCCCAGCAATGTCCATTCACATCAGGAGATTTAGAAGGTATGATAAAAGCATTTATAGTCGCTGTGTGCTTGCATTGCGTTTTCGAGAGTGGGAATACAAGAGAATGATGATGATGAGAAAGCCAATGCAGACAATAACAGATGACAGAGATGAGACAGCAGATAAGAGTCCATGTTAACATGAAATTAGGCATTTACTGCCACTGGTCCTTTGAGCTCAAACATTGTTACTTTGAAAAAACATCAATGAAATGGCATCATGAAAATGAATTTGCGACCATGTAGAATAGGGGAGATATTCACTTCCTACTTGTGAAATATGAAATCGTCCATACAGGAAAATGGAGGAACATGCATTTTATCACTGTAAATTTCATAATTTATAGCTCAAAATAAAATAACACAGTACAGCTCTAGCACTTTCAACTTTTATAAGAAGCATAGTAATAAGGTAAAAATAATAAGCACTTTAGTTCTAAGATATTTTTAACTTATTGTAACCCAAGAACTTTATGAAGCAGCTAAGTCACTGCCCCCCCTTTATAGATAAGAAAACAAGCTCAGAGCCGACCTCAGCGCCCACCGCCAGCCCTCTGGGTCAACTCTCCTCATCCTGGTCAGCTGTACCAGCCTCTGTCCTGGCACTGCACACCTTGTGGTCCCTGCCTCACTCCCGTATTTTCTCAGCAAACACGGATGCAAGACGGAAATGCAGGAAGACTGCTCATCTACAGCGGGCAGCACACACGCCAGCAGAAGAACATATGTATCAATAGCCTTTTTAAAGTTCATAATTCCACTTCTGGCAACTTACTCTAGGGAAATATTCAGAAATATGTACTGAAAATACAAGCACAAAAGTATCTCACATATCAAGAAGAAAAAGAACCCAAAAAAGGGTTTAAAAAAGGACAGAAAGGGGCCGGCCCGGTGGCACAAGTGGTTGGGTGCGCGCGCTCCGCTGCGGCGGCCCGGGGTTCGCTGGTTCGGATCCTGGGCGCGCACCGACGCACTGCTTTGGCGGGCCATGCTGTGGCGGCGTCCCATATAAAGTGGAGGAGGATGGGCACGGATGTTAGCCCAGGGCCGTCTTCCTCGGCCAAAAAAGAGGAGGATTGGCGGATGTTAGCACAGGGCTGATCTCCTCACAAAAAAAAAAAAAAAAGGACAGAAAAATACAACCTCCTCAAAAGAAAAAAAAGAAAAGAAATACAAATGACTTCCAAACACATGAAGAAATGACCCTACTTCATTCAGAATAAGAGAGGCAAAGTAAACCAGCACACTGATGCAGCATTTCACTGCTGTCAGACCACGGCTTTCTAAGTCGGGCAGGGCGTCGGGGGACCGCATTCTTGCACACTGCCTGTGAGAGAGTAAATCCACTCAATCCTTTTGGAGGGCAACATCTACCAAAATTTCAAATGCATGTGCATTTTGATCTAGCAATTACACTGCTAGGAATTTATCTTCGAGCTATGCTCATACATTAAAAAATGACATGTACAAGATTATTCACTGCAGCAAACCCCTAGGAAAATGTAAATCTCCAGTAATAGGAGGGCAGTTACATAAAGCCTGATAGATTCACACCATAGAACACCACGACACCACACAAGAGGATGAGGAAAACTTATGTGTCCTCATCCAGAATGAGCTCCAAGATACAGTGTTACGTGAAAAAAGCAAAATGCACAACAATAATGTATATCGTGCAACTCTTTGTACAAAAGCGGGGAGGAACAGACTATAAATTTACTTGCCAACTCATAAAATATCTCTGTAAAGATAAATACACCTAACAGTGGTGTCGGTGGGGAGGGTACCTGGGAGGGTGGGGACAGGAAGGAGACCATTCACCATGAATAATTTCTGTACACTTCGAACTTTCAGAATAATTAGTTTATTTATTTATTTAATTTTTTATGAGTAAAGGAAAAAATAAGAAATAAAAATCAGTGCCTGGGGTTGACGGAGGATGGTGACAGAAATGCTCTGGGTCCTGGCTGTGACGAGGCCCAGGTGCAGGCAGCTGTCAGACTCATTGAACCGTACACTGAGACGAAGAACGTACACCACACCTCACCAAAGTGAAGAAACAGTGCATGGCTTAAAAACAGATACTCAACGCCCTTTATCCGTGTTGTGATAGTAGCTTTAACAACTGGAAACAGCCCAACTCTCCAAGGTTACGAGGTTGGTTGGAGACTGGCCAGATAAACTGCAGTGTACGTTCTCATGGAATAAATAGTGAATAAATAGTGACAAGACATTTCTACAGACAGTTTATAATGACTTGATTAAAAAGTTTGGAGCAGTAAAAGTAAGTCTATCCTAATGATAATAACACCACTTATTGAACATCCATCCTTCACTGTGAAGCGACTTGGTGTGTCTGATCTATTTCCTGTACGCCTCAGCACAACCCAGGAGGCAGGTAGAATCACACTATTTCACTAACGAAGAAACAGATTCAAAGTGATTGGTGTCTGTTAGCCAGAAGTGGGGGAGCCACTGTATCCCCGAATGCTCCACCCAAGTCTGTGCAGGCTCTCCTTTGCACACCTCCATATTGTTTGCACGCCTCCATAACTGTTTGCACACCTCCATAACTGCACACCTCTATAATTGTTTATATAGCTCCATAGTTGTTTGCACACCCTCACAATTGCACATATACACATAACACTCACAAATGATCCCCATTTTGCAGATGAGGCTGGTGAGGGGCCGAGCCAGCACTGAGTTTCCACTTATGTACTCACCCCGTTACACGCCCCTCCCAGGACGGGCAGGCAGGAACCAAGGAGCACTGTTTAAGGAGCCCTCTCCGTGCCCTGCTTCACTAACAGGCCTCCTGCCTTCCTGAGACCTCAAATCCCCCACCCCGCTTCCCCCGCACCAGCTCCTGCAGGAGCGGTGCACCAGCTGTGCCCTGGAGTGCAGAGCTCTGACGGGCTGAGAAGGGCCAGCCCTGGGCGGGGCCTGAGGGGTGGCAGGTACCTTTTTCTCCCGTGGGGCCCACTCTTCCAGGCCGTCCTGGTGCGCCTTTGTCTCCCTTCTCTCCAGCATCCCCTGTGGAAGAAGTCACAGGCATTTAGGACCTCGTTCTGAGCACAGGCTTTCACTGTGGCATGTGGAGAAATAACAAGGAGAAAGCTTCTCACCCTGTCTGTGCGACAGCCAGGCCCTTGGCCCTCCTCTACCCTCCCCAGTCCCCAGGGCATTTTACCCCTTCCTCCCTACCCTCTCCCACCCCTTGACCTCTGTCGCAGAAGGCGCTCAGGTCTCCCCGCCCCAAGTCTTTCTCAGGACTCTGCTTCCTTGCCCTACTTCCTCCCTCAGGGAATGGATTTGTCACTCTTTCCAACTATCCTCCGACGCCAGTGCTCCCCAAGACCCACTCTAACTGCTCCGCTGCCCCTCACTGCCCAGATGTCAACATGAAGACAGAAAGTATCTCGAGTCCCCTCCCATGGGCAAGCATCTCTTCTAGCCTCTCCCCGCCCCTTGTCTGGCTGATACGCTTGGCAAGAATAAACGTGGGTGCTCCTACCAGTATCCCCCCGTCCCTTCAGCGCGAGCCCCCACCCAGGGCGCACACTCCTGCTCGGGGCCAACCTAACGGCTTTTCCCCAGAAATGAGTCTCTTCTGCAGACTTTCCCGGGTCTGGTGTTGATCCCAGATTCCAAGCCCTCGTGGGATACATTCAAGCATCTGCCCAACTCTGTGAAACCCAGCCGGCCGCCTCCTCCCCGTCCATGTCCCTGCCCCCAGGTGGGCCGGCACTCAGGGCATGCTCCTCTGCTTCTCCGCAGCGCTGGAGCTGCATGGACCACAGAGCCGGGCCTCCACCTGCTCACTGCAGGAGACAGAGACGGAAGGAGCAGTGGAGACACCCTATGAGAAGGGATACAGGGTGTGTGGTGGAGGCACAGAGGATGGAGACCTGAGGGCGGACATGAAGGCCCCTCCCTGCTCCCTCTACTCTAATCCACACCAAAATGATCTTCCTAAAACACAGACCCGATTATGTTGTTTCCCTTCTCAAAAGACATTCCAAACCACCAATGGGCTAAATGTAGTTACAAGTAATGTCCCGTTATTAAGCTTCTCCTCGATAGGTCTTCTCCTGGAACCCAGGTCTTGTCTCACACTGTCCCTTCTGCGTCACCTGCCCTGACCATCAGCCCACCTGTCCACGTTGCACCTTCTCACCTGACGGTCCAGGAAGCTTTTCCTGACTCTCTCACTGGATCTCTCATTTCTCTGGTGACTGGGACCCTGTTCCCTATCGCAGTCGTTTTTATACGGCCTCTTCTGCTTCACTGTCGTGCTGTTGCTCTACAAGCGTGTGTGGACGTGACCTGCGGCCAACACCCCTTCCTGGTTGTGCACAACGCAGGCCAACAAGTCGACTTCAGGTCTCTGTAATTCTCCATCACACCTCAGCTGGGAAGAGGCTTGCCTGACGTTACAGGTTCCCCAAACTGATAACCTGGCCTAACGGAGGGACATTCCATTTAGACGTAAGTAAACAAAGACAAAAGCAAAGTGCCAACAAAAACTAGAAGACAGAGCTGGCATGTCCCTGTCACCCCCAAGCCATAGCTGTGACGGCTCCATTGAGAGACCTGCTGAAGGGTGGGTGGGTGGGTTCCTGTGGGTGGACACACGCTCAACACACACATGTGGCCCTTGAATCTCTGGGCAGTTCTCAATTTTCTTCTTATCTTTTAAAAAGAAAGGAAATCTGGGCTGGCCCAGTGGTGTAGTGATTAAGTTCGCACGCTCCACTTTGGCGGCCCAGAGTTCACAAGTTCGGATCCCAGGCGCAGACATACACATCACTTGTCAGGCCATGCTGAGGCAGGCGTCCCAAGTATAAAGTAGAGGAAGATGGGCACAGATGTTAGCTCAGGGCTAATCTTCCTCACAAAAAAAAAAAAAAAAACTTAAAAAAAAAGGAAATTATTAAAATAGCAATAATTGGAGAAGCATTGATAGTCTAGCAAGAAACACCAACTAACAGAATGAGCTCACCATCAAGAATCAGCAGACACTTGAGGAGCAACAACATCATGAAAGAGAAATAACAGCTGAGGACACAGAACTCACGGGGCAGCCAGGATGTGAGCCTGAAATAACAGACTGAATACCCTGACAAAGACAAGAGAGAAAACAAGAGGAAACAGCAATGAAGAAGAACCAACTAGAGATCCCATACACAAAATTAATTTTTGAAATAAATTACTCTATAGATAGGCTGAGTAACAGAATGGCCAATGCTAAAAGCTAATTCATGAAACAAAAGACTAGGATGAAGATTTTTTTCGCAATGCAGCACTAAGAGATAAGGAACAGGAAAGTTTCGTTTGGTTTGAAGTCACCAAGTTGAGACTGAAGAAAAACCCCACAAATTCCAATATCTGTCTTATAAGAATTCCAGAAAGGGAGACTAGCCGTTTGAAGCCTTAATTGCTGTGAAGATTTAGTAGCTGTGGTTTCCTGGTCCTAAGGAAAGGCATGAAAGAACACAACGAAAGTGCCCGCAGAGCACCACACCGGAAAAATGAGGGGAAATAACTTAGACATGTCAGAGTGACACTGCAGAACATCAAGAATAAAGAGAAAATTCACAAGCTACCCAAGAGGAAAAAGAGCTTTTAAAGATTGCACGCATATGAATGAGAATCAGATTGACATAAGAATTCTCACTAGCAACACGGGATACAGAATAAAATGAGACAATAACTTCAACAAAAGAGCCATAATTTAGATTGAGAGATCAGAAAGGTCCTCTCTGACAGACTGGCTTTTAACTGAGACCTGCTGAACAAGTCAGAAGTAGCCAGGCAAAGAGTAAGGAGGAAGTGCTCTGAGAAAAGGGAACACCACCTGCCCAGGTGAGGTGGAGAGAGACAGGAGGTGGCTGTTGTGAGCGAGCCCCCGGGGGCTGGGAGAAGGCAGCACTCAGACCTCATGCTTCAGGACCACAGGAAGCCACTGACACACTTTACATAGGGAAATAACAAGGCCCGATCCACACGTGGGGGAGAACAGTAAGTATACTATTGCAATAGTCCAGGCCATGGGCGAGCACTTATTCCTGCCTACATACAGCAGTCTGCTCCCACGGCCCATCTGCCCCACGGGACTGTAAGCTCCTTGAAGACAGGATTAACACCTTGCCCAGCTCTGGGTCTTCCAGCACACCTGGGAGAGGCCTTGACCACGCAGGTGCTCTGTCAATATTGGTAGAACATTAACACTAAGCATACCCGCTGGCTTTTCTTTTGTTGGTTAAGATAATTCCTTGAGTTTACACATGGCATTCACTTATTTCCACAACTGAACCTCGCCCCACCGTGTGAGGTGGGGATCATGTCCACTCTGCAGACGGAGACCCAGGCCTGGAGAAGTAACAACGTGCCCAACCTCGGAGGAGCCAGCACTCCAACTCCGGTTTTGACCCCACCACCCTAGGGCATCAAAACCTTAATTACAGTCTGACTAGGATGACCAGACCATCAGTCAACCTGCACTACCTACCCTACTTCACCACCCTCTCAAAAGAGGAAGCATAGGACAGCAGCTGTCATTACAACTCCTGCAGGATCGCCACCTGCTTCCATGGGCTGCCTCTATGCTGATCAAACAACTGTCCGTAGTTAGGATCCGAGGCACAGGAGGACCCTGAGCAGCACCAAACATCACCTTGTGTCCCAAACTCTCCTTACTGAAGCAGGAAAGAGGAACAAGACGTGACTAAGAACAATCAGACTTTGAAGAGTGGGACCCATGGGTTTTCCTTACATCTCTCAGCTAATCAAAAATCCACGTACACACCGTTCTCCCCAAGGATTCTGCTAAATGGACGTTTGACCTATCAGCACCAGGCCAATTGCGTTCCAGCCAGCATTGGGCAGCAGGCCCCCTGAACCCCTCCTTGTTCCTGTGGTGGGCATCCAGAGCCGCAGTCAGAAAGCCTCCTGACCACCTGGGCTACGCAAACTCCAGCCTCCCGTTCCTCACCTTTGATGAGGATGGAGTGACCCGTGTTCTGGAAAACACCAAGCTGTCTGTTGTTATGAAAAGTTAGGAGCTCTCCCTATCATTCATCCTAATTTTGGAGAGGCAGCACCAAAGAAGACAGAGACCCTCTGTGGCAGGATTGCCTCCTGGCCCCATTCTTTCCCAACGACCTTGACCTTCTGCTGGGAGACCAGCCCCAGACATGCTTCTTCAGAACAAAGGCGGTTTTCAAGCATTGTTCATATTTGGCAGGGTTTGAAATGTTCGTTGTCTGCTACTCCCAGGGGACATAAAGATCTATGCCCCCGCTGGTAATCATTCCCAGGCAGTATTTCTATAAACCTCTCCACTCAAAAATTACACGCATTCCGTAATGTACGCCCAGGGAGCACAACAGCCTTTCCCATGTCCTTGTATTTATCCGGTATTGATTTGGGGCAGATTTACTACATAAAGTTCTAAATGACAAGTTATTTCTCTACCAGGAGAGGCTAGCATTTCAATGTCTAGCTCATTAATGAACCGCTCTCTCCTCTCTCAAGGAAATAAAGAACATATGGCTGGTATTGACTTCTTGCTTGCCTCCCTGCAAATCACAGCAAAGTCTATGAGCAAAATGCTTCCGCCTAGATTGCATTTGGGGTGATTCTCGACCCATGTCAGTTAGTGCAGAGAGAGAGATGCTGTGATGACTTGCAGCGGCTGAGGAAGGGCCGTGGAGGTTCCTCGACTCTCGTGACACCTGCTCCCACAGCTGAACAAAGAAGTCTGCGAGCAGACGTCACCCCTGCCAAGCACCTGGATGGAAACGCCACTCTTCTGTGCTGCAGGTGCTAGAGAAGGAAGAGACAGAGAGGCTGACAGCTCATTCCGCAGAGGAGGAAACAGGCCCAGCAAGGCACGTTTACAAGAGTGAAATTCCCAAATGCATGAGTCACTCAGGTCACATTACTGGCTTTACCAATGTTGTTTGTTTTGTCTTTGTTTTTGTTTTTTTATATTGAAGACAATGTTTATTACTTATTATGCAAAGCAACATCAACCTCACCACCCCACAACCATTTTTTTTTCCCCCCAAAGCCCCAATAGATAGTTGTATGTCATAGTTGCACATAGTTGCACATCTTTATAGTTGCTGTATGTGGGACGCGGCCTCAGCATGGCCAGAGAAGCGGTGCATCGGTGCACACCCGGGATCTGAACCCAGGCTGCCAGTAGCGGAGCACGCGCACTTAACCACTAAGCCACGGGGCCGGCCCACCAATGTTGTTTTAAATTAATTTGATAAGACCTATAAGAATAACTAGGCCCTTTCAAAATTTCTGAGCAGCTGGCTTGCTAACATACATAAATTTTTTCCTACCTACAACCAATTTTTTCAGCCACTAAGGAAGGACTGTTATTCCCATCAAAATGAGTTGTTATGCTCTCCAAATGCAAAGATAATGTGTCATTATTAGGCCTGTAATAGCAAATAAATTTCATCTCAAGCACCAACACCAGTCAGTGGATAAAGGCTTCCTGGAGTGGTGTTCAGAAAGACTCTGAAGCCCAGTCTGGACTCATTAGAGGAAGTACCAGGATCTGAAGGGCGGAGGAGGAGGCCCCTGTGCTGTGTTCCCGCAGACCACATGCCACCTCCACGTTCAGGTCTTAAAGGAAAGGGACAATGGCTTCTTCCTCCCGGGCTGAGCCTGGCCCTACTCAGATCTCAATAATGTTTGTCTAACGAACGAATGGAGACCACTGACACGCCTCTTTCATCTTAAGAGCAGAGCCAGTATTGTCTATTTTATCTCCCTGACTAATGCAATTCCTGACACATCGGATGTAATAAATCCTTTGACAGACCATTCTGGCCCATTCTGGTCGAGCGTGTGCCAGGTGAAGACCTTGTCCCCTCCCTGGTTCTGTGCGAGGCCAGCACAAGCTTAGTGGGTGGTGAGCCACCGTCAAGAGGGAAGCTGGAAGGGAAGCCCATTGTCACCACGTGCCCTGAAGCTGGAGGTGAGGGGTAGAGCCCACTCCACATACCATCTGATGAAAAGCCACAACTCCCCGACGCTTACTGAAAGAATGTGGAACAACCTAAGGATGGAAAAGGTCCTCGCGTTCTGCACTGCAGGTTCCCCTTCTCTCTGCTGTCCGGGCGTAATATCCTGTGAGAGTCACAGGACCTCTGCAAGGTCAGAGACCGATCTGTGAGCCCTGTTCTACAGGTAAAGACAATTCCAGAGAAGCGAGGTGGCATTCATTCACTCCCCCCACAAGGACAAGCTGAGAGGGACCAGGCGCTGAGCAGACACCTCTCAGGCTGAGCACAGAGGGTGCAGACCGAGCAGAGCCTCACGGCAGCCACCGCCACACTGTCCCACGCTGCACACGGTCACAGGAGTGCAGAGCCAAAGGGAGGGGCTCCTCCCCTGATACCAATCTGTTCACTTTGCAGTGGACAAAAATCTGGATCCTCCTGAATTGCTATTGTCTGGAAGCCCCAGACTCGCTTTTTTGCAATAAATTTCTCTCCTCGACCCTCCTCCTGCTGCCCAGTCTAAACAGAGGAACAATAAAATTCCTCCTCCTCAGTATGCTCACATCACGAAGAAGGAACTCACATTGTCATGTGTTTCTACGTCACGACAAGACATGCAGTTCTCGCCACACACACAGAATGATAGCTACGTGAGGTGACGGATGCGTAATCATTTCACAATGTATCTGTAGTCAATTATCACGTTGTACACCTTAAATATAAATATATGACAACTTGTATTTGTCAGTTATATCTCGATAAAGCTGGAGATAAAAAAGAACAAGACATCTAGATTTTAAGGGCTTTAATAAATATATTAAGAAGTTTCTCTACTAGAATTGTCCCTTTGGTATTGACAGACTAGAGTGAAACTAGTCTTATAAACAAAGCTGCCATTTAAATCCAGGGATCTAGAACGCACGCTCCATCTCGCCCACAACGCCCGAGCATGCCACACAGCCTCCGCACTCCTTGGGATCAGCCCTTGGAGAGCACGGTCCAGTTGGATTCGCTGCAGGCCCTCTCCTCTAAAGCACATCCACCCTCTCCTGCTCGGTCAGTCTGTGAAGGGACAAACGAGAGTCACACCAAGTCAGCTCCCTGTGGACCGTGCTTTCTCCTGCAGCTTTAGTGGCTCGTCTCTGACTGCACGTGGTGTTCAGAGTTGAGAAATCCCTGATGAGAAGACATGCCGTGTCCCTGGGAGCGGGCCACACCGCTGAGAGGAGAGAACCCACGGGGCCTCTGCTGAACGCGCGAACCAGAACAAGCTTGAGGTCTGGCTTCGGCAGAAACAGTCACGGATGCAGATTTTGAAAAGCATCTTCTCAGAAGTGCCCTCAAGATGTGCTTGACAACCCTGGGATATCTGAATATCGATACTGTCCTAATTTTATATTTAAACTGTGAATATGCTAAACTGTTGAAAACCGGAACGGTTGCCTCCATGAGCTTTTTTAGACACTCTCAACTCCACACTCAAAGATACCACCATTGTTAACATTTCAGTATACTTCCTTCTAGTTTTTTTCTCTATTTCTATGTATTTATATATTTTAAATGGAATCACGAAGGGAATACTTAAAGTATCCTATTAGCTTTAGGACACACTGAATCTTTCTGTAACAATAAATACATATTTAAATCAGTCTCTAAAATCTCCTCCTTTGGCGTGTTTCCCAGGTTATTGGAGATTTGCTCTAGAGTCAGAAGCTGTGTGCTTAGGACGCCTAAGTGATTTCGGAAGCAGAAAACCAACGACCGTCCAGACTGAACGACTAACCTCCTTAACCTGCAAGCTCCGCAAATATCGCCACCATTTAATCCTCACAGAACCTTGAGGCTGTACCATTTTCCCACTTCGACAGATAGAGAGACCGAGGGAGGACAGGCGACTGTCACACCACGTGGCTTGTACATGGTAAACTCAGACCGTTGTATCTCAAAGCCTGTGTCCTTCCCCCTACCTGCATCACCTTAGAAAGAGGGGCCGCACAAGCACATGAAGTCAGAACAGGACCCACGGGACCCAGGACAGATGGGTGGTTGCAAAGGCTCCCCATTCAGCACCTCTGAAAAGCATCTAGAGAGCTTTTCACCAACAGAATAGACACGAACTATGCACTGAAGCCTGGCCGCCCCCTCCCCCGGGCCATAAACACTTCAGGCCCCCCTCCTGGATGCCAGAGTGGAAGGGAACGTTCAGGACCCTGGGGAGCCCACCCAGGTCCACGTGGGGAAGTGACTTCCACAGAGGAAAGTCCTGCTCTCTCTCCCACAGCCACGTTTTCAAACTTAAAACTGAAGCTTCCACTTACAAACCCACACCAGACTACTACAAAGTCCAAGGCCAAAATCCCTCTTCCATCAAAACTTTTGAGTGAGTGGCACAAGTTAGACGGTTTGAGTTTCTTCCAACACAATCAAAAATTTTTAGAGGGGGTCAGTACGCTTATTGTAATTAAAAACACAAAGCCAGGAGGCTTGTTTGGGCTGCAGGGTTGTCTTCTTGGTTTCTGCACAGTGGAGTGAAAGCAGCCAAAAAAGACCGTCCCCAACAGGGCCGTCCTCTGGGAGAACCTCCTGGCCATCGTCGCTGACTTTCCTGATGACCGTCCTAACGCTGGCCACCCTGATCACCCCTAGAGAGGGCCTGCAAGGACCAGAGTGCCCCTGACAACAGCGCTGATGGCCCTGTGCTCCTGGTCACCAGAGACACTGGCGTCGGCTGCCCTCGGCTGCAGCCTGCTGCCTCTGTGCCCACAAGGGCCTGATCTCCAGATGACCGGCTCTGCCTTTGGCAACAGTCATGCTTATCGTGGTCAACAGCGCCTAATTGTGAGTCCACTTTTCTCCAACATCACCACCATACGGAGAGCCTGCCACCTTCTCACAAAAGGCCCATTTGGCAGAGTCTAGGCTGGAGCAGCAGCCCAAGTGAGGAGGGGAGGGGCAGATGGAATTTGAGGATGTGGGAGGCAATGTGTGCTGAGTCCTGGGCCGCCCCTCCGCAACCCTGCCTTCCTGCTCTTAGGAGTATGCAGCCCAAGCTCACTCCACATGGTGGAGGTGCCCTGTCCCTGTCTTGAAATTCTTTATAACTTTGAACAAGGGGCCCACGTTTTCATTTTGCACTGGACCCCTGGAATTATGGGGCTGCTCCTGCTTGGAAATCACAAGGTTTGGAATCTCTTGCCTGTGCTTTGTAGGACTCAGTGACTTTCTCATATGAAGATGCCCCTCTGAGGGCTCAGATACTTCCCCTGTGCTGGTGCCCACCCCACCTCTTGTCTGCAGAGGAGCTCTTCCCGGCAGTAAACTATAGACAAAGCAATAAGAGAAAAGGTGTTCTGGTTTCTAAAAGAAGGAATAAAGAGCTCTCAGGAACCAGCGTAGAAGCGCAGTCTTCTGAGCTGTGTGACCTAATGTGGCAAACTGCTAAGTTTCCCTGAGCCTCAAATATCCTTATCTGCAAATGGACCGATGAGATGGCCTCATTCTGTGGGTCACTTGAGGTAACGTGGGCAGTGCCTGGAACAAATGTCAGTTGCCTTAGCAGGGTCCCTGCAGAAAGCTGAGCCACAAATGAACGGCTAGCTTCAGAATACAGGATTCCTCGGCCTAAGGGAGTGTACACACCATGTAGTTCAACCTTTGATTTTACAGGGTTGGGGAAACTGAGGCTCATGGAGGCGGCAGATTTGCCCCAGGTCAGACCCGGAGCTGGAACTGGGACTCAGGACTCTGGACGACCCCTGTGTCAGCCACACATGGGCTCCCCGCCCGCCTGCCGGCCACTGCTGGGGAGACTCTGCCGAGGAGGCCCAACTTGGAGGTTACCTTTGAGGCCTGGAACGAGAATCTGCACAGAGCAGGCGTCGTCCGCCGTCTGCTGAGGATATCCAGACAGGAGCAGCGACAGGAAGACCAGGCTAATCAGAGCCAGATCCCTCTTCATAATGAGCGCCTGCAGGACATTGACTCCTGAACGAAGGAAGGAATAAACAGTGACCGGAATTCTAAAAACCGGCGACAGCCATGACAGTGTGCAGGCCACGGCCGGGCTCGCGGCCACCCCCGCTGAGGGGCCAGGGTGCTCGGCAGATTGTGGGACCTCTCCCATTGATTCTCCCAGTCTCTCTCTCACTGTCTCTCTCACTCACTCGGGGCCGATTTAAACCTGCCCCGAGAAGTACCCGTCACCCCGCTGAGACAATGATACCACCTCGTGAGGTGTGAATCCAGATTCCCCTCTCTACTTCATCACTAACGTTAACACACACAAAGGCATGTTCACAGTTACAGGAGACTGTGATATTAGCCATAACACACGTTGGAGAGCCGGCCAGCTTCACAAGTCAGGTCTTGCAAGTGCTCAAGTCCCTGGGGGCCGTTCCCACCCAACACCCCTCCCCAGGAGGAACCATCCGCCTGCACTGTGAACTTACCATTCTCTCACTGTTTCTGAAATCGCATCACAACGCATGTTTGTGTTCTTAAACCTTATACTGTCCGGTTTTGCTTGGTTTTGAGCTTCACAAGAGAGCGTGTCACACTGTGTATTGTCTTCTGTGACTTACCTTTTTCACTCAACATTCTGCTCCAGGATTCACCCGTGCTGCTACATGCAACTGCAGCTCATTGATTATCTAATTATATCAATTCAGAGGGCAACAGTGTGGGATGGGGTGGGAGTTGGAAGGGACAGCAGGACACAGCTGCGTCACTGTGGGGAACAGGCGTGCCGACTCTCCCCTGTGGGTTGGCAGCAGCACACAGAGTCCCGCCACATGGGACTTGGATGGCTGTCTAAGGCAGACTGGATGGCACAGAGTTTGGGGACAGCTGGGCATCTGGCTGTACCAGTGCTGTGGCCAAATTGCATCTCCTTTGTCAGCCTGTTTCCTCATCTTAAAGTGGAGGTAAGACCCCCAGCGTTGTTCTGAGGAAGAGCGGTGGTGATGCAAGTGCTCACTCAATGACAGCTTTCGTGTTACTGTTATCACATGTTGCGGGGCGGCCCCATGGCCAGCAACAGCCCCCAGCCAAAAGAAAAAGCAGGAAGCCAGAGTTTCTAAACTGAGGATGCTCTCTGCTCCCTGTAAAGTGCCCGTGCTTTAGCCAAGTTGGTCATGAAATGAGCACAGGTGAAAACCGTTTGCATTCTGTGACATCCTGTAGTGAGGACATAGCTTCCCTACGTGTGGTCATAGAATGGACACCGTAAAGGCCAGGAGGTGAGGTGAACGTCCACTGGACTGGGGAAAATATAAGGCCATATGCTACCCCACAGAGATTAGCACATCTCCCACTGCACAGGTCAGGAAACCAAAGGTAAGGGGAATTAAGTAACTTGTCCAGCACCGAACAACTAGTAAGTGGTGAAGATGGGATTGAAACCTGCGTCTTCCCACTGCTGCTGACTTCTTTCTTCATTCTGCCCAACTGTCAGCTTCCCAGGCATCCAAGTGAGGGCCTGTCCTCCTCCTTAAAACACGACGGTAATTGGCTTTTATTTTATTTTGTATTATTTTATGTCTGGTGGAGAGAAAGGAGCCGACATTTACTGCGCACCAAACACGGACCCTTATGTGTTATTTAATCCCCAAAACCCCTCGTGAAGTGTGCGGTTCCTCACATAAAGATGACGAGACGAAGCAGTGAGAGGTTGAACACTCAGCCACACGTCACAACTGGGCCGTGAAGCTGGCGCTCTGGCGCCAACCCGCCTCTCCCCACCGCCTGCTTGCCTGTGCTCACACAAACATCAGAACTACAAGGAAAAGTAAAAGAAGGAGCAAATTCGCCCGCCATCTAGGACCCCAGGGATGAGCTCTGCCCCCTTCATTCTCCTTTGTCGGCTCAGCCCTGGGTCCACGTGCAAGTAATTTGTGCTGGAAGCAGGCGGACGCATGCACCACAGTTCGTACCTTGTCCAGAGCCCCAAGCACTCCGCCTGGAGTGTGGCAGGCAGCAAACCGAGTGAACAAAAGAATGAGTGACTGAATGAACGAACAGAGGTTCACAACCGCACCGCAGGTAGAACTTGAGGCTCTTCCCGGGCTAGTTGTTCTTCCACAGTCCTAGAGTGTTTATCACCCTGATGTCCACATGGCATTGCCAGGGCCAGCTCCCTGGACACACGACCTGTGCAGCCCCACGGGGGAGGTCCACACACAGAGGGCCCAGCAACGGGATCATCGTGCTGCTGTCACTGTCCTGGAATTCCTAATAGTTTTGGAACAAAGGGGCACCTCAAAGTTTGCAGCCAGTAAACTGATCATTGCGTTGTGTTCCTAACCATAATGAACTTAGCTGCTGCTTTAGCAGCAAATATTTTGGTTCTTTCCAGGATGCAGCTCTTAAAAGTAATGATAATGTTATCTGTCGATGATATCTCAACAAAAAGTCATGATAAACACCGGATCCACCTACTTTTGTGCTCAGGCCAATGGATACTTGCTCCTCGGTATCTGCTGGAGGCAAACTGACTTGAGACTTTTTTAAATGTCTTCGGTATCGAAAGCTAACATGGGAAATTCCTCTCTAGGGTCAGGAGACAACCACGTCATTTAGCAGGACTTACTGCTCTCCCACTGCAGACATCTCAAGAGCGGCTCCCAGGAAGATCAGTTTTAAAAGGAGGAGACAGTGAGGGGAAAACCCAGAATAAGCTCAAGTTAGGACTCCTCATTCACCCTTCACTCGTTCACCGACTCCGCTGCTCATTCGTGTGTCTCTGTCCACTCTGCCCAGTCCCCTCCAGACCTGCCCTGAGGCGCCCGGCTCCAGGTCCAGCTCCCTGGGTCCTGGCAGCAGAAATCAGGGCGGGCAGGCCCTGGGTGAGATCCTCTCCCCCAGAGCTCTGGCTCTTCCCCACCCTCTTAGAAGAGGAATGTCCTCTTATAAACGGAGAAGCCACAGCTCCCCCAGACCTCTCCAAGAACAACATCTTTATCTCCAGGCCAGGGCCCAGGATGCTCGGACCCCCTTCAGTGAAAGAGGTTGGCTTTTCAGAGAGGAAAGATGGTTCAATGTGGAATTCTTAGTAGAGATATGTTATAAGAATAAAGCAGAAAATGAAAAAAAATGTGGCTTAATTTGCCAGGTACAATTGTACATTTTCATTAAATATCTACAGCAGCGCCCAGCATCTTCCAGATACCATAAACACCTGTGGAGAACTGCACCCCCAGAAGCAGTGGGGAGCTCGAGTCTTACTGGCAAACACACCCCACCCCTGCCCCGCTGTTTCGCTTCCTATAGTGACAGTGGGCCTCCCCAGTGGCTACAGTGCTGACAGATGCCTACCCCAATGGCATCTATTTCTTTCTTTTTACCAAGACCACAAAGTAAGAGGATGCCTTTTCCCTGTTATTTTTTCCTAGCTTGATGCAAATCATCTGTCCTCTTATTTAGCATATAGATTTTTCTTAATTGTAAATAAAATCGAATAGCTGTGAAAGTTTGGGGCACTGCTCTGCCTACCACCAGGCAAAGTGTTTCCCATCAAATCCGAAGTCCAGTTACGACATGCAATGGTTTTAACACTTTATCTTTTAAATTCAGAACTCCTACCTAACTTCAGCCTAGCAGGGTGGCCAGCTCTAAGGGCCAGGTGTCAAGGCAGGAAGGGCCACCCCGTGATACTTTGTCTCATCCAGTTTTGGAGGCTAGATGCCCCCACTCTGTGTAAGATGACCCTATTTGCCCTTGAAAGTTGCCTTCTCAAGTCCTGCCTTTCCTGCACGTCTGGGATTCCCAGTACTAAGCCCAAAACAGAGCCACTGGTCACGGAGCACAGATTATTGCTGTTGTCCATGTGGGCCCACCCAAAGGAGGTCAACAAGCAGACCTGAACCCTGCACTGGCTGCTCAGTTGGTTGGTTCTGTGGCCACTTTCTACACTGGGGCTTGGAATTAGGGAAAAAATGGCTTCACCTCTTTGAATCTATGTAAACCGGAGAGGGCCTGACTCAATTGCCTAGTAACTGATAGAACTAAATCCTGCTCCTCAACTGGCTCCAGGAAGATTCCACCATGAACTACTGACTTAACCAAACCTTGGAATTCTGGTGCCTGATTTACTTGACGGACTCAATCCTGTACCCGGATCTAGGAAGATTCCCATCTCCCCCTTCACCCCAGCTCCTACCTCTGGCTCTGTGTGGAATCTTGCCGTCCTATCTCAGCGTCTTCCCACTGGTGAACCCCCGTCCTGCTCTCCAGGGCTGCAGAGTCGGCGGGCAGAGCGTCCCCCACCTGAGGCACACACTAGGCGGAGGGGGCGTCCTGATCGTCGGGGGCCCGCAGGGACACTGCGCCTGGGAACCTCATGGCTGCTATTTACAGAGACAGCTGCAGTCTACACACGAGGCACTAGCGGGCCTGGGCTGTCAGAGTGCCCAACAAATCAGGCCGGGCTGCTGCAGTGTTATCTGCAAACCACTTCCTGTTTGAAATACATCAGCTGTCCTGCCGAGGGTGGTGAGCGGGAGTGTGGGAACTCCGGAAACATCCATGATGTCAGGGCTGTCCCAGGAGGGGAGGTATGTGGGACCCTCCTGGAGAAGCCCCTTCTGACTGTTCACCCCAATCACCCCAATTCCGTCTCCTTTTTATCCTGTCTCTTTTTTATATCTTTTCTGTTCTTCTCTTTCTTTTCTTTTTTTGAAAAAACAAGCATGAGTATTATTGTGGAAAGTCAGGAAAGTATCAAGAAGAGTGATAATTATCATCTGGAATCACACCAGTCAGAACTAAATGCAGCTGACACGGCCTTTCATTTCTTCCGCCTGGGGTTTCACTTCAAAAGCGTTGTCTGTGTCCACTGCCTGTGGAGACCTAACCCACGGTGAGACCCCAAACTAACTCCACTCACTTAAGTTTCATTTAAAGATAATACACGGGGGACAGCCCAGTGGCACAAGTGGTTAAGTGTGCACACTCCACTTCAGCGGCCCAGGGTTTGTGGGTTCAAAT